ACATGCCCGCGTGCAGCACGTGCTGTACAGTTCCCCGCAACCGTGCTTCTGGCAGACGACAATTGCCGCTGTGCGGATTATCTCAGCTAATCACGTAATGTTCGGTATCACGTGAGGACTTACTTAAGATAAGCTGATAGAATCCCGGTCAACATCAACTTACAGGTAAGCCTAGTTTAACAATTATCTCAGATACATGCAGGACAACTTGTTACACATTCTGAATTCGGGGGTTGGTCGGGAAGCCTTGTGGTTAAAGCGTCCGCTCGTACGCACACACGTACGCTGATGTGTTCTGATTGATGTACGAATGCTGGTTAAGTTGCGGGCACAGATGCTGCGGTTGGTGAAGCTGTGAACATTACCTAGGCGTTCAATATTTTTCTGGTTAAATTGTAGGATTGACATTATTCAGAAATGTGGCAAGAAAACCTTGATGAAGATGTACTTTACAACTTTATCATCACTTTTTGATAGTAATTCATAATACAAGTGACAAAACCCTTTCATATTCATAAGAAATCTATGGGTCCATTGGATAATTCCGACAACATCGGAATGTGGTTATGAGTGAGTGAGTGAGTTTGGTTTTACGCCCCTTTGACAATATTCTAGCAATATCACGGCGGGGTACACCAGAAATGGGCTTCACACATTGTACCCATGTGGGGAATCGAACCCGGGTCTTCAGCGTGACGAGCGGACGCTTTAACCATTAGGCTACCCCACCGCCCCTGTTTATGAATATCTCCTACAAATAATGATAAAACAAATGCCCACTATACAGTTCGTTTAGCTGAATGTTTTCGCTTTGCTGACTATTTGATAGGTTGATAGATGGTTCTTGTATTGAATTATAATAGCAGTATGTATTTTCCCAAAGTAACTTCACTTTGTGCTTTGTTTTTATATGGTAAGTCGAATAAATACAATTTCTGTTAAATCAATGGAACTGGTCCTTGGGCCATTTGTGAATGGACCCTTGAAGTTCCGGTTTAGTACTGATCTTCAGTAACCCATGCTTGTCGTAAGAGGCGACTTACGGTATCGGGCTCGCTGACTTGGTTCACACATGGGATCAGGCCAGTTATCTTAGCCAAATTCCGTGGTCTTTAGGTTTGCCGACCCGGGTAAAGTTCTGATTTCTATGTATCAGGAAACGGATAAACGATGAAGGGAGCATAGTGGTGCCCGTGGGGATGCCTTCATGTGGCGTAAATGTCCCCAAAATACAGCATAGATTCTATCAATGAGGAAGACCAGTATTTCAGCTGCGCCTTGTTTTGAGTTTGCCATATCGATCTCAGCAGCAAGTTAGTGAAAAGGGAAGATGGTTCCCAAAGGGATGATTAGATATTGACACTTTCAACTGAAAAGTCTCTCACTAACTATAACTTTGAAGATTTAGTAAATTCGTGTGTGCATTTTTTGCAGGAAGTCAATCAAGTGTCCTGTCAAATAACTTGGGGTCTTCTGTTTTTAACATTTTCAAGGGTTATGGTAAGGGGATCCCCTGTCAGCTTGATCAGTGATGTTGAACACCAATAACATGAGTTGTTGGTGATACTAATTGTATACAGATAGTCCCTGAAACTTTCTGCAAGCAGTGATGCACTTATCAAGAACCTTTGCTCGTTTCTCATGCTTGAACGTATAATACAACAAATATTTCAGAAATTGTAACCTTGATCTTGATTGCATGAAACATAAAGGTACATATTAACATTTCTGGTATATTTTCGCAATATGACGCCCTTTGGGAAGAAACCGTATATTTAAATCATTTTAAACAGGGGCGGTGGGGTAGCCTAGTGGTTAAAGCGTAGGCTCGTAACGCCGAAGACCCGGGTTTGATTCCCCACATGGGATCAATGTGTTAAGACTTCTTTTTTTTTTCATCTCCGTGATATTGCTGGAATATTACTAAAAGCAGCGTAAACCCATCCTAACTCACACACTCCAGAAGTAAACCAAAACTATCTTTACGAAGCACCCGTAAAATACCCACTGAGCTGTAAACATCGTCATTGTCATGATACAAATGAGACAAACGATTTCAAATACTGAACAAACAAGAAAAACTAACAAATGAAACCAAACGTTGTTGTAAATAATGATACAGCAGTTTAGAAATTAATGGAGAAAATAAAAGCGACAAAATCCTTTCCACATCCATAAGCCATATCTGCTAATATCAGAGCCGATTGCCTAATTCCGACGATATCCTGAGCATGATCTAATAGTGACGACACCAGGTGTTCCGGAAAAGGTGAGCCTATGATGCCCCACCGGTGGCACCTGTCATAAACACATGCAAAGGCTAGTCAATTGTTCACGTGTGAAATACATATAAAAAGGGGAATTGCATCAAAACAATGTTAGAACCAGAGAGATATTTGAAAGCTGTGAATATTCCAAAATTCAGGCGTATACTGGCTAACGTTAGATGTGGTGTATTACCACTGGAAATTGAAAAGGGAAGGCATTGGGTATCTTTTGTGGGGCGCGGTGGGCGAGCTGGCTAAGGCGCCAGGCTAGTGATGCAGCGAGGTTGTGGTGTCGGGATCGAACCCACCTGTGACCGGGTTTAAAAACCTTGTAGTCAACTTTGTGTTCAGACTCGTTCAGTGTTGTCACAACCCCCAGTGTACAGTACACAACCCTGTGCACTTAAAATAACACAGGAATCCGTTGGAACATGACCAGATGGTGGCCATATGAATACGTGCAAACACCTCGTTGCGGGTACAGCAACGTGCAGTGAACTTTGACCAAATACTGACTATGTATCCCAGTCCACCCAGCTGTGAATGGGTACCTCGTTAGGATGAGAAAGCCACAATAACTCGGTGCGCCTAGTGGCTGCAAGAGTTGCAGACTCCCAAGGGATTTGAGATTGATAACACGATGTGCCGTTGAGATAGACATCCAATCATCGAGGGGAAATATACCAGCGCCTTGAGCAAGCACTAGTTGCCTGGATATGTGCGCTATATGAATATCGTATAATAATAAAAAAAGATATTGTAAGCTTTGTGAAGATGGAAGTGTTGATTATGAATTTCATGTTCTTGTGTAAGGCATTTATAGATTTGAGACAAACTTATATCCCCAAAAGGTTCTTTAAAACATTGTTTCATTTTTCCTCATGTAATTGGTGGCCTTAAGTTATAATAAACGATGGAGATGATGAAGAAGCATCAGACATCATTATTGTCACTGAACCTTTAAATTTTAAATTTCCTCGATGTGCAGCATAAACTTTTTAAAGTTTTACTGATGCCTTGAATGTTGTAACCTTGATCGAGCAACTTAGCAAGAGTCGTATGACGCTTTTTGAAATCGTGGTGAAAACAACATGCTCGTTTGTTCCTCCAAAGTTGTGAAATGTAAACACCAAAGGCTGGAGCTGTTTGAATTATGGCTCGACATGAAGGTAAGGTTGACTGTTGGGAAGTTGGTATCGTCCCTTCACTCATACAGTCTTGTGGAGTGTTTGTTTGTCATTCTGAATCTTTAAGCATGGAGTGAGTGAGTGGGGTTTTACGCCGCTTTTAGCAATATTCCAGCAATATCACGGCGGGGGGACATCCGAAATGGACTTCACACATTATACCCATGTGAGGTATGGAACCCTGATCATCGGCGTGACGAGCGAACCATTTAACCACTAGGCTACCCCATCGCCCCTTTAAGCATAGATCTATGAAACAGTTGAGGCGGTTTCAGTTGTATCCTTTATTTCAAGTTCAGGTGGGTAAATCAGGGTAGGCTATTCTGACGACCTTCAGAAACAGTGAAACAGATCTCTCTTACCTGTGTTCCACAGACTGACTGACTGAGTTTGGTTTTACGCCGCTTTTAGCAATATTCCAGCAACATCACGGCGGGGGACACCAGAAATGGGCTTCACTTATTGTACCCATGTGGGGATTCGAACCCGGGTCTTCGGCGTGACGAGCCAACGCTTTAACCACTAGACTACCCCACCGCCCCAAACCTGTGTTCCAAGGTTCATAAACCTAAACATAATTAAGACTTTGTCGACCGATATCTTTACTAAATACATACTGTAAGATGACATCATTATGCATTTCTGATAGAATAAAATCGATTCCACCTTTATAAATTATCGATTTATATATTTTTAAAAAGCAGTAGATGTTCTTTTAGAGGCGTCAGTAGACCTTATTAAGCATTCCAATAAATAGCATTTGTAACGAATTATCGGTTTTATTTCTCCTCCCCTAACCTTTCGACTTTATGATTTATGTGCACCTCTTCTGCAAAATCCTCGATCCGACCCTGCTGATTACAGACCCGTGAAGATCCGGGGTAGAATAGGTCTTCAGCAACCCATTCTTGTCATAAAAGCGACTATGCTTGTCGTAAAAGGCGACTAACGGGATCGGGTGGTCATGCGCGCTGACTTGGTTGACACATGTCGTCGGTTCCAAATTGCGCAGATCGATTCTCATGCTGTTGATCACTGGCTTGTCTGGTCCAGACTCGATTATTTACAGACCGCCGTTATATAGCTGGAATATTGCTGAGTGCGGCGTAAAACTAAACTCAATCACTCACCCTGCTGATTACATATACCGTTATCTGACTTGTATAGTGAATAAGGAGTCTGGCGTTGTAGACTATTGGCTGAAGACACGTATTCATGTCTATGCCTATACTCTGCAGGAGTACAATGTGTGCTCATGGATTGTACCCGTGAAAGTTCGGGTTAGAATATTGATCTTCAGTAACCCATGCTTGTCATAAGAGGCGACAAACGGGATCGGGTGGTGAGGCTCGCTGACTTGGTTGACACATGTCATCGGTTCCCAATTGCGCAGATCGATGCTCCTGCTGTTAATCACTGGATTGTCTGGTCCAGACTCGATTATGTACAGACCGCCGCCATATAGCTGGAATATTGCTGAGTGTGGCGTTAAACAATAAACAAACAAATCATACAAAAGTAAGAAAAAAGACAACAAAATTCATGATCTTTGTTATATCTTTCACTTGCATGCTTTACGTTCAGAATGCAATAGAGAAATATGAGACGATTTTCAATGACCACAAATTGTTTCAATAGCTGATCGACAAAGGATGGATCTACATTCATTTCCAAATAGAACATTCCTTTATCCTTAACAAGGGTTACAGTGAGAACAGTTATACAGTTTGACGGCACTAGTGTATTAACATCATGTATTTGTGTGGATTTCACAACTCTTTCATGGATTGGTCGGCTACAGGAGTCTGTGGTGTGTGCTTAGAAAGTCCTTACAACAGAATTGTTGCGGGTCTTCACAAAACGCCCATTCTGGGAGAAGAACGTTGATACAGTTATCTTTCTGTGATTCAGGCATGCAGTGCTCGCCATATTCCGGGTCACAGGGATCTGTGAATTACAATTTGATCCTATAAAAGTGCATCAGTTCCAAAGAAATTAACCCGGGAAAAGCCGAGTTGTGAGTGAGTTTACTTCACGCCCTCTTTAGCAATATTACAGCAATATTCCAGCAATATCACGGCGGGAGACACCAGAAATGGGCTTCACACGTTGTACCCATGTGGGGAATCGAAACCGGGTCTTCGGTGTGATAGGCAAACGCTTTAACCACTACCCCACCGCCCACCAAGTTGTGTAGATCGATCCTCATGGTGTCAATTTTTAGATTATATGCTTCAAACTTCATTATTGACGTATACAGACCGCCGCCATATAGAGGATACACATCCGCAAGTGGTGTAAACAACAAACGCACACACGCACGCACACACACACACACATGAACACACAGAGTGGTGCTTCGCCTGCAGTGTCCGTGTGTGTGATTAAAACTACCAACGGTAGTCTGAAGTACACTGTAGATTCTGTATAGTCCGCCGTGTTAGTTTTTTAGTTTAACGACATACTAGAGGGCTATGCTGAAGCATTCGGGCATCTTGTGTCATCCAATATGTGTTGCCAAATTGCCGAATGCGTCTTCCATGGAAAGAACGACAGAAATAGTGTTGTACAAAATCATTATTCACCATTGACACCATGAAATGTCACATCCGGAAATAACCAGTCTCGGTTATCAGCTCAAAAACATTCTACTGTGCGTAAACATGCAATGACAGCTTACATACATGGATCCCTGATAACACCAGGTGTCCATGGCTAGCATGTCCTGTAATATAAGTAGCATCTATAGGTAGATGTCTTGGTTAGCTTTTAGTTTCATTTTTGGAAGTCGACATGTGGGTGCGTAATGCGAGGACCATGTTATGCTGGTATTGTTGTAAAATAAACATATCAGGGATTGCATTTGACCATATGAACTAGTCATAAAGTGGTTTTGAAACAAAATTCCAAGTAACATTGAAACGTCGACCGCTAATTTGTGTTTTACTCCCAATGGAATCTGTTTCCTGAGACAACATTTCTTTTGGAGTTTTATATGTCATCTGCTTGTTGTACGAGGGAGCTATTCTAATATATAATGAGCATGTGTCTGATACCAGGTGCTCTTGGAACAGTATTCTGCTCTACCGGTAACACGCATCACAAATAAGTGCAAAGACAGGTCAATTATTAATCGAACGTCAAATTGTGAAGGGTGTGGTAGTCTAGTGGTTAAAGCTTCCGCCCGTAACGCTGAAGACCTGGGTTCGATTCCCCACATGGTTACAATGTGTGAAGCCCATTTCTGGTATACCCCGCTGTGGTATTGGTAGAATATTGCTAAAAGCGTCGTAAAACCATACTCACTCAATCAATCACTCCCTCAAATGATTGCTAAAAATGGCGTAAAATTTTACTCACTCACTGTACTGTTTTGGCGCTTTAAAGCAGTTAGGTATTATACAAGGCATCTTAGTTAATAGCAGCAATGGCTATTTTTTTTTCTTTTACGTCCGGTACTATCTATTTCTGGGAAATGATTTAGATGAATTATTTTGTGGCTCTTATGTTTTGAATTTTCCCGGCTGGTTATAATGTTGGTGTGGTGCCATTGATGCTTGTGTAATTCATCCTTTTCATTTCTCCATTTAAATGTGTGTTCTAATAGGCATTGAGGGTGAATACGGGACTACTCAGATAAAAACCTACACATTGGCGTTTAGAAACAAAGTAGATGGTCTTTGAGATGTGTCAGTACACCTTAAATGTGTATGTTTTTAAGAATTCCGGTGAATAATATTTGCAATGAATAGATGAATAGAAGTTGCAGGATAAAAGCATAATGATAGATATCAATCAAGATACATAACGCCAGATGTCGCGTCAACGAGGCGATAGTGATAGAGATCTCGTCTGAACTCAGTCCATATACTGTCACATGATTACAGTGAGTGAATGCGTTGATTTCAGCAACAGCCCGCTTTCAGCAATATTCCAGCAATATCACGGCAGGGGTAACACGTTGTACCGACATGTATGATGGGACCATACCCGGGGCTTCGGTGACAAGGGAATAAGTGACCCACTGGTGTTATTCCGGAACAAGCCAAATCTTCTTTTAGGTTACGGAGAGGGGCGAGTAGTGACGGGAATATATTAATAATAACCACTCGGTCTTTTCCGATTGCTTCCTGGGCAATGAAGGTATTGCATGACACAGACACATAACGAAAGGCTGTTCACGACAAGACAACAAGTGGAATGATCTGAACCATGGAAACATGGCTGTACCATCACTAAATTGTACTTACATGGCAAGTGCGAGGGGTCATATTTGAACGCATACACATCGGCAACGTGGACGATGGCGACGGCGACGATGATTACGAGACTGCGGTTCATTGTTGCCACACGTGGATGACGATGTGGCGTGTATCGTGTATGCAGCAGCTTTTCATGTATGTTAATATTCATGTAAATATGTAACACTTTCGTTTATAGTTTATGTATGGCACTTTGCGGCATCTGGTTCTTACACATTTGGAATCAATACGTTCATAGATCAAAATCAAAACTTCCAGAGATCACTCTGGAGTCATTTAGGCCAAGGCTGTGATCACTGGAGTAATTCGAGCCAAGGCTGTGATCACTCTGGAGTCATTTGGGCCAAGGCTGTGATCACTCTGGAGTCATTTGGGCCAAAGCTGTGATCACTGGAGTCTTTCGGGCAAAGGCTGTGATCACTGGAGTCATTCCGGCCAAGGCTGTGATCACTGAAGTCATTCGGGCCAAGGCTGTGATTACTGGAGTCTTTCGGGCCAAGGCTGTGATCACTCTGGAGTCATTTAGGCCAAGGCTGTGATCACTGGAGTCATTCGGGCCAAGGCTGTGATCACTGGAGTTATTCGGGCCAAGGCTGTGATTACTGGAGTCATTCGGGCCAAGGCTGTGATTACTGGAGTCTTTCGGGCCAAGGCTGTGATCACTGGAGTCATTCCGGCCAAGGCTGTGATCACTGGAGTCTTTCGGGCCAAGGCTGTGATCACTGGAGTCATTTGGGCCAAGGCTGTGATCACTGGAATCATTTAGGCCAAGGCTGTGATCACTGGAGTTATTTAGGCCAAGGCTGTGATCACTGGAGTCATTCGGACCAAGGCTGTGATTACTGGAGTCTTTCGGGTCAAGGCTGTGATCACTCTGGAGTCATTTGGACCAAGGCTGTGATCACTGGAGTTATTCGGGCCAAGACTGTGATCACTGGGGTCATTCGGGCCAAGGCTGTGATCACTCTGGAGTCTTTCGGGCCAAGGCTGTGATCACTCTGGAGTCATTTTGGCCAAGGCTGAGATCACTCTGGAGTCATTTGGGCCAAGGCTGTGATCACTCTGGAGTCATTTGGGCCAAGGCTGAGGTCGCTCGAGAGTGACTTGGGCCAAGGTTGAGATCGCTCTAGAGTAACTTGGGCTAAGGCTGAGATTGCTTAAGGGTGACTTGGGCCAAGGTTGAGATCGCTCTAGAGTAACTTGGGCTAAGGCTGAGATCGCTTAAGAGTGACTTGGGCCAAGGCCGAAATCGCTTAAGAGTGACTTGGGCCAAGGCTGCGATCGCTCGATAGTAACTTGGGCCAAGGGTGAGATCGCTCGAGAGTCACTTCGACTCATTTGGGCCAAGGCGGTGATCACTCTGGAGTCATTTTGGCCAAGGCTGAGATCACTTTAGAGTCGTTTCGGACAAGGCTGAGATCACTCGAGAGTCACTTCGACCGAGGCCGGGATCGCTCGAGGGTCGCTTCGGCCATTGGTGAGATCGCTCGAGAGTGACTTGGGCCAAGGCTGAGATCGCTCGGGAGTAATTGGGCTAAGGCTGAGATCGCTCGAGAGTGACTTGAGCAAGGCTGGGATCGCTCGGGAGTGACTTGGGCCAAGGGTGAAATCTTTCGAGAGTGACTTGGGCCAAGGCAGAGATCGCGTGAGAGTGACTTGAGCAAGGCTGAGATCGCTCGAGAGTGACTTAGACCAAGGCTGAGATCGCTAGAGAGTAACTTGGGCTAAGGATGAGATCGCTCGAGAGTGACTTGGGCCAAGGCTGAGATCGCTTAAGAGTGACTTGGGCCAAGGCTGCGATCGCTCGAGAGTAACTTGGGCCAAGGGTGAGATCGCTCGAGAGTGACTTGGGCCAAGGCTGAGATCACTCTAGAGTGATCTGGACCTGGCCTCAGATCATCTGTTTGTTGAACACTTGGCATCAGTACGTTAACTAGATACCCGCGGGATATACGGGGACGTGAGGGAGATATGTTTGATGAGGCTTACAACATACAAAGTAGTTTTTGAAACGTTTCACGGAGACATGGGGTGGACTTTTGCAAATGTTCCCCGAATTTGGGCTCACTAAAATGAACTTTCATCACTTTCAGCCAGTGAAATCAATAATCGAGATCGAGGCAACTGAGAATGATTGTTCTCTGGAGGTGACGTTTTACGTGATTTGTGATCCAAACTGTAGATACATCTGATATATGTTTCTGTTGCGTAACTATCTATTGATTTGGTGTTTTCTGAGTGATTACGATCACCTGTTGGTGTCCAGATGTCATTTTCAGTCATGTGACTCCTGTTGCTTGTAATGTATGTCTGGCTATGTCAAACCAAATCGATATATCAGCCAAGGAAGTCTCAAAAACTATTTTATTGATCCTAATTTAGAAAACAAAACTCAATAATATAACCTCAAAACAACGAATCCCTTTGTCCGAATCCCTTGGTTTTCAGTTTGCCTACCCCAGGTGAATTCTGATTCGTATGTATAGGGATACGGGTTAGCGAGGAAGGGGACATAGTGGTGCCCATGGGGATACCTTATCCCCCTAAATATATCATGGGTGTTTTTAATGAGAAAGACTAGAATTTAACATATTGTTTTCTCAGTAAACTTGAGATGACGTTTATATTTGTTTTTGCCAATCTAAGCTGAGGTCCCTCTAACGTGTCAGAGACCATTCTGGAGTGGTTTGGTCCAAGGTTGAGATCACTCCCTCGACGCCCGGAGCAATCACCCCCTCGTAGGCTTTCCGGGTTCACATTTGTGCTCATACTGGTTCCTTGTATCCTCTGGTATGTTTGAGAATATTTGTTTTAGATTATTGGAGGCGTGATGTGGGGTTTGGGTTCTGTTTGAATGACACTTGTGCCAAACCGCCATACTGTTTCGTCCGTTTCTCAGACGTTTAACAAAGATAATTTTTGCATGCTTGCGGGCTTTGATTGACATAAATATTTTATATCGGCATCATTAATGATCATGTTTCACTCTTTGTGCAAATGCAGTGACGTAACATCATATTGGAGGAGAATATTGCCCGCCCACATACTGCACGTGTTGTACGTGAAAACGACTTTGTGAGGCAGAATATATTGTATGACTGCCACGGCCGGCTATTATCACGGGTGGTTATGTCAATATTGATTAAACAGAGACAAGTAGCCATATATTTAGTTGTTTGGGGGATTTGTTTAACGCCGCACTCAGCAATATTCCAGCTCTATGGCGGTGGTCTGTAAATAATCGAGTCTGGACCAGACAATCCAGCCAAACCGAAACATGATTCTCATTAACCTATTCAGACAATGACCTACTCCTTGTTTCATACGAAAATGGTATTTACAATTTTAATTTTAAACTTTAATAATTTCTATATTTTATGGCGAGGTGTAGGCAGCACGACCTTAACTAAGACTTCACAGACTGCCCCTGTTTGATGAGGTCGTAAAATAATTGACAATCAATCTGGCTCACTGGTTACACCTGTTATGTCTTTCTTTGCACTTATTCAATGTAGTTCTGTAACGCACAATGTGATTGATATAACATCAGTTCCGTACCAGACCGCCAAACTTTTCTAACGGCAGAGCCTCGTTTTGAGATTTCCACGATTTTCAGGTTTCCGTTTGTCAGAGCTCGCTGTACGACAGAGCACGCTGCACGACGTGTTTGCAAGAATTTTAAGGAGTGTAGTGTTGCAATATACAAGTGCTTAGGAAACGAGACTGTTGTGTAAATAATATGTTTTGACTTGACCAGTTATAAACAGCATGAGCATCCATCTACGCAATTGGGATACGATGACATGTGTCAACTAAGCCAGCAAGCCTGACCACCTATACCGTTAGTCACCTCTTACGACAAGCGGGGCGGTGGGGTAGCCTAATGGTTAAAGCGTTGGCTCGTCGCGCCGAAGACCCGAGTTCGATTCCCCACGTGGGCACAATGCGTGAAGCCCATTTCTGGTGTCCCCAGTCGTGATATTGCTGGAATATTGCTAAAAGCGACGTAAAACCCAACTCACTCACTCATTCACTCTTACGACAAGCATGGGTTAGTGAAGACCAATTCTAACCCGGGAAGCCAGAGGAGCTGAGACCGCTCTACTGAAATCAATCAATCAAGAAATAAATATGCCCCCTTTTCGAATATGTCTCCAAATCAATAACTCAAATATGTCAGTATAAATATTTTGTCGATTTCCATAATGACTATGATATTTTCAGTTTTCTTGAAACCTAAGGAAACCCGGACACTCCGATATTCCAAAGAATATTTAAGAATATACAACGGACTTGACATTACTGACATGAAAGTCAAAGTACTGTAGTCATAACTAGAGGAGAATCCAACAAATTGTCGGGCTCGGATTCACATTTGAGATTACCGGAGTCGTCATGATCGTTTATGGTATTTAACAGGAACCAACTGTACAGAGCAGTTGCTGTTAATTCGCTATGGTAGTGATTGAGCAAAACAAAAGAAGTTGTCATACTCTTTAATCAGCCAAGACAGTGGAGTTTATGTGACAGAAAGATTCGTGTTGGTTGTAGCTTTAAGGGAATATCACAGACAGCCTTGACAGATGACCTAGAAAGTCTTGACAGGTGACCTAGAAAGTGTAGATAGATGACCCATGGTACAGGCATGTCCCGGCCAGACACGGATGTCCGATTGGACCCTGTTTACTTTGGCCCGTCGACTGTCTCGATTCCTCGACAACAGACAGCGCCTTTAGGACACGTGGCAAACGTCGGACCAATCACATCCTTACAGGGCCTGATTGAGATGCATGTCGCGTCCCATCTATCACAGGGATCTGCAAACGTACAAGCTCTGTATTATGAAGATCACATTTACATTCATCGATAGGAGTGTAACGATTGTAACGATGTACAGATTTTCGATGTACGTGGTGGCAATCAACAGTAACCTTCAATATCGACTATGATATCGATACTGGGTTGTGTTGTGAAGTTCTATTGGAGTTGAGAAATGAGACGAGAACCAAAATAGTTATACTTGGGCGGCGAGGAAGTCTTGTGGTTAAAGAGTTCGCTCGTCACGCCGATGACTCGGGTTCGATTCCCTATTTGATCCAATGCGTGAAGCCCATTTCTGTCCCCCTCCGTGATGTTGCTAACAGCGGCGTAAAAACCAATTCACTAACTCACTCAAAAATTCACCTTGCTTTAAAATACACGTCTCAGAAGTTAATTATCTTCATAGCAAAAAAATCAAACATAGCATCAAACTGTACAATGAGAAAGCTGTTTAACAAGGAAATCTACATTCTTCTAACAAAACTCTTCCGACTTCAGTAAGGAACAAAATTCTCCTTAAAACGTCAAATAACATTTTTAGGTACATATGAAATATGTCGTAATTATACTTGAAGAAATGATTTCATTTTTACAAATATTCTGAAAATAATTGTAAATACTTAGTTTCCCGAAATGTTTAGTTCCATGGTCTCGCGATCTGTACAACTAGGAGATTACATAATGATAAATACTTACATGGTATCTTTGCATCCACTGGGCGGCTGAACTCGACTACAGCGAGGAGAACAAAGACTGTAATGAGGAGACTGTGTTTCCAAAACATACTGAAGTTTGTTCAGGCGGCCTGTTGTGTTAGTGTCGTGGTGTTCAAGTGTCGACTTGATCAGGTGTGTTCCTATTTATGTCAGTCAGCAGATGTTTTCTAATTCGCAGGCGTGGAGCAACTTGACATGTTGATTGATTGTGTGGTACATCCTTGTTTACAGTTTAAACAGCCGTCGGCAGTTTTCATGACCGAATTATTTGGTCTTGTGTTTGCCAACCCGGGTAAAAAATATGTTTTGTATGTATAAGGAATGGGATGGGCGATGGTGGGAGCAGAGGGGTGTCTATGGGGATGTTGCCTAAATGTCTTATCCCCCTAAATATATCATGGGTGTGACCAATATTTCACATATTGTTTTCCATGTGACCTTGAGATGACGTTTTCTTGGCAAAATGTCCCGAATCTCTGAAGATAGACGTAGCACATGCTACGTTTGGGAGTACACTTCTCAGTGAAGTACAATTTCTAGTTCTGTATTGGAGTCACATTCTGGATTCGAACCCATACTCTCAGATTCAGGCAACACACAAAGTGAGCTGTCTAACCCACTCATCCACCGCGGCGTTCATAAATATGGAAGTCGGACAACTGTCGACTTTGGAGTGACATGGAAGTGGGATGATATCACTCTGGAGTGACTTATAACTCGACTGATATCACCCTGAAGTGACATGGAACTATGATGATATCACTCTGGAGTGACTTGGAACTAGGGTGATATCACTCTGGAGTGACTTGCACTATGGTGATATCACTCTGGAGTGACATGGAAATAGAGTGATTCGCACTTGGGTGATATAGCGATATAGTAACGGGTGATATCACACTGGGCGACGCATAACTCTGGTGATATCACTCTGGGTGTCGTATAACTCGGGTGATATCACTCTGAGCGATTAGCACTGGGGTGATATAATGGCTCTGGAGTAACTTAGAACTGGTGTGATATCGATCTGGAGTGACATGAAACGGGGTTCATAATACTTTGGATAGACTTATAACTTGGGTGATATCACTCTGGAGCGATTTGCACTGGGGTGATACAGCTCTGGAGTGAATTCCACTGTGGTAATATCACTCTTGAGTGAATTAGAACTTGGGTGATATAGCTCTGAAGCAACTAAGAACAAGGGTGATATCACTCTGGATTGACATGGAACTGGGTTGATATCACTTTCGAGTGACAAGGAGCTAGGGTGATATCACTCCTGGGTGACTTGGAACTGGGGTGATATAACTCTGGAGCAACTAAGAACTAGGATGATATCACTCTGGATTGACATGGAACGGATGATATCACTTTCGAGTGACAAGGAACTAGGGTGATATCATTCCTCGGTGACTTGGAACTATAATGATATCACTCTAGAGTGGCATGGAATTAGAGTGATATCACTCTAAAGTAACTTGGAACAGAGTTGACCTCTCTCTGGAGTCACTTCCAATTCGGTGATATCACTCTGGAATGACTTGGAACCAGGGTGATATCACTCTGGAGTGACTTGGAACCAGGGTGATATCACCCTGGAGTGACTTGGAACTAGGGTGATATCACTCTGGAGTGACTTGAAACCAGGGTGATATCACCCTGGAGTGACTTGGAACTAGGGTGATATCACTCTGGAGTGACTTGAAACCAGGGTGATATCACTCTGGAGTGACTTGTAACTATGGTGATATCACTCTGGAGTGACTTGGGACAAGTGTGATTTCACTCTGGGGTGACTTGGAACCAGGATGATATCACTCTGGAGTGACTTGTAACTATGGTGATATCACTCTGGAGTGACTTGGGACAAGGGTGATATCGCTTTGGGACTGGACTGTGATCACTCGAGAGATACTTTGGTCTGGGCTGTGATCACTCTGGAGTGACTTGTCCCTGAGCTGTGATCACTCTGGAGTGACTTGTCCCTGAGCTGTGATCACTCTGGAGTGACTTGTCCCTGAGCTGTGTTCACTCTGGAGTGACTTGTCCCTGAGCTGTGATCACTACCTCTTGGCCCAAGGCGCTCTCTCCTCGTAGGCGTCAATGACGGGTTCGATTCCTTCATGTGTCACCCAAAAATGAAATATTTCCTGCTTTCTTGTGTAGTATATTTATAAATGTATAACAGGTTGTCGAATCGTCTATAGTTCTGATGTGTAGTTTAATGTTTATAGGAACAGTGGGTTAGCCTAATGATTACAGCGCCCGCTCGTCACACTAAAGACCTGAGTTCGATTCCCCTGGGTGTGGTAGCCGGTGAAAGCATGTGCTCGTCATGCTGAAGAACAGGGTTCGATTCCCCACATAGGTACAATGTGTGAAGCCCATTTCTCGTGTCCCCCTCCGTGATATTGCTGGAAAATTGCTAAAAGTGGCGTAAAACCATACTCACTCACTCACAATTGTTTATAGATACCTCTGGTAATATTTCATAACTACACAGATAATAGATGGCATATGGTAACTTTCCTTGCGCGTGGGCGTATGTTGGGATGAAAATAGTCGGTGCTAGTTCTTGTAAAACGCAATCACTTTTAATAAAATACAACATGGAAATACATGTGATACATGGTATATTGACAAGGTCCAAGTTAAACATTGGCGTTATATATTTTTACTATAATGGTTGTTTACATGAGGACTGGTGATAGTAGCATCTGGTGTACAGCAAATAAAAATTGTGCAAGTCTGTTAAGTTGGGTTTTGATTGGCACCAAAAATATTATATTGACTGGACCACACATTTCATGAAAATGTTTAGCAAATGTGATTTAAATAGAATTTCACTCAGGAAACGAAGGTGGAAATTAGTGACAAGAATAGACAATTAATTATTTTTGTTTTAATACACAAATATGTCCAAAATACAAAGTTGATGTTTACCGTTCTACTTGGTTTCAATACAGGTGAGGGGCGGTGGGATGGCCTAGTGGTTAAAGCGTTCGCTCGTCACGCCACATGACCGGGTTTGATTCCCCACATGGGCACAATGTGTGAAGCCCATTTGCCATTTCTGGTGTCGTGATATTGCTGGAATATTGCTAAAAGCGGCGTAATCCTTTGCCAGAAAGTGGTCACAGTCCAGAGAGTTACTGGACAATTGGGTTTCCAGAATGAAATTGTGACTTATCAATTTTTAAATGCCGAGTATCCCAAGATGGCGAATTCCATGGACTTACGATCTGTACAACCAGGAGATTACGTCTGTACGTACGGAATGAGCTATGCCGTAGTTACACTTGAAGAAATGATTTCATATTTATCAAAACCCATCTCGTTTATTTTGGAAATAATTTTAAATGGCGAATTCCATGGTCTCTGCATTTGTGCAAGCCTGACATTGCATAATGATAAATACTTACATGGTATCTCTGCAACCACTCGGCGGTTAAACTCGACAACAGAAAGCAGGGCAGAGACCGTAATGAGAAGACTACGTTTGCAAAACATATTGAAGCTGTTTCATACTTTCGACAGATGTTTTCTAAAACGTATGCATGGAGCATTGGCAGGTTGATTGATTGTGAACAGTTATAACAGACTAAGACATTTTGAAAAAGAAACCATCCTTTCTTTTTTCACTTTCGGTCTAAATAATACGTTGAGTTTTTTAACTTTCTTTAACAATCATTCTTTTGGTTCCCGGGTTGTGTTTTGGTTTTAGTGGTTTGGGTTTTTTTCCATTCGTGTGCACCCGTGAAATCCGGGTTGGAATTGATCTCCAGATCCCATGCTTGTCGTAAGAGGAAACTAACGGGATCGGTTGGTCAGGCTTGCTGACTTGGATGACACATTTCACCGTATCCAGTTGCGTAGATCTGTGTTCATGCTGTTAATCACTGGATTGTATGGTCCAGACTCGATTATTTCAGGGCGCCGCCATATGGCTGGAATATTGCTGAGTGCGGCGTAAAACTAAACTCACTCACTCACTCACTCACTCAATTTACACCTAACACTGACACTGATACTGAGACAGACTTCAGATGAAAACCGTTCATCCATGGTTCAGACAACCCGATGATTTCATGTCATTTTATAAACCGACAACAGTCGGTAATCCTCAGGCTTTGATAAAGCTACATTCCAGAATACAAACTTAATGTTTGAGGAAGTATTTACACACCTATTGGCACAATGTGTTGAACGAAGTGCCGTAGAATTACATAGGTCATGACGTTAAAGGGTAGAGTGGGATTTTGATACATAGATCAACTAACACAATGTGTTGAACGAAGTGCCGTAGAATCACAGAGGCCCTGGCGTTAAGGAGTAGAGTGGGATTTTGATACAAAGATCAACTAACACATTGTGTTGAACGAAGTGCCGTAGAATCACAGAGGCCCTGGCGTTAAAGGGTTGAGTGGGATTTTGATACATAGATCAACTAACACAATGTGTTGAAGGAAGTGCCGTAGAATCACAGAGGCCCTGACGTTAAAGGATAGAGTGGGATTTTGGTACGTAAGTCAACTAACACAATGTGTTGAAGGAAGTGCAGTAGAATCACAGAGGCCCTGACGTTAAAGAGTAGAGTGGGATTTTGATTCATGGATCAACTAAACCACCCATTCATCTAGGTGTTCTGTTGTAAAGTTCATAAGTAATGCAGAAGATGTCCTTAATGACGCGTTTCGGACTTAAACTAAACATTATATTTTACATGTAAACTACAACGAACAGAAGGGGGCACTAATTATAGTTTATTGTAACTGACGTTCGTTCTCTGCATTTCGAGTAAAATATTAATATACATGGCCTTTCAAAAATGGACAAACTTGAGGAATGTGCAGTGATCAAGTACTGGCAGCAAGGGGTTAACGTCTCCATTGATAAAGCCGGTCGGGCCTTTAATACTAAACGTGCACTGCAGAATGTTAAACCAAGCGTGTGTGTCAAATGTACATATCCAGCGTTCACAAATGCATTCCTATTTGAAACCTCACTGCATGCATAGACCCGAGAATGAAAACACTAACAAGACTGCGACAGGAGAAGTGACTTTATAACAGTCGGCTGTTCCATGTGTGTCGGACATTTCAGCAGGTTGTCTACATTTCATTACTTTGGAGGTACATTTTGTGTGCTCTTTCTGAGGAAGTAATGCTACTCGTGGTCAAAAAGGTTTCATGTGTCAGTGAAGTACATTTCAAAGATGACACTTCGGCAACAAACAAACGTAGCCAATGTAATTTGAACTTGTACCATATATCCCCGTGTTTGTATCCAGGGGACCAATTGCCTTGCCTTTGCATGTGTGATTAGTGCAACCGGAGTGTCAGGATAAGCTAAACTTTTCGCCATCACTGGTATCACTGTGTGATGGTGGTGTTGATGCTTTCGTCAAATATATTTTGAAAATGCTTTTAAATGGCCCCAAAAGTAGGGAAAGCTATTTTCACTGAAAGATTTTGCTTCAAATAACACGATTTGTGACACTGTTCACAGGTAGTATTTCGTATTCTGAACATGTAGATAGGTTTGATGAAATTGAATTTTACATTTTGTAAACTACGGCTATAAGGATTTCATATTGGCGCATGAACCATCACATCTACTCTAAACAAGAACGATAACTCTATTCCTGTTTCATGCAGTAATATCACCGAAGCACTGTATATATATAGTACTGCTGGTTTTGTTTTGGTTTGTATTTATTTATTTATTTTAAAGAATTAAACCTCTAAAACACTTACAACTAAAAGAAGGGTGTGGGGGGGATATATTTGTTAAACACACATTCTAACGTTACCATTACCAGCTGTTCACCTTATATTTCCAAATGTATATTTCTAAATAGGGTTTAGGAATCACAAATGGCATTTGTTTTAATGAATCTGCAAATGAAACTATCTGTTTTGTAGCTCAAAGTTGATACTAAAAAATGACGTTAAAATGTATCTCAAACTGAACATTCGTGTTACCTTCCTGCCATACCCCTGCAGGAATTAAAATTAAAATGAATACATCCATGGAGGTCCGGGTTAGAATTGATCTTCAGTAACCCATGCTTGTAGTAAGAGGTGACTAACGGGATCGGGTGGTCAGGCTTAACTTAATTCTGTGGAATATCTGTGTTAAGCACAGAATACCCTGTATTCACACCTACCTTGTTGTCCGTTGTGTTATGGACATAGTAGAAGAGGATAATGGTTTGTTCGAAAAGAATACCACTCAAAGTAGAATTACTCACTCGATCTGTCTTTTCCTTATTTTTGAATCTGTTTGATGCAGTCGAAGGTGTCTAATGTTTCATGTAGTCGAAGGTGTCTAATGTTTGATGTAGTCGAAGGTGTCTAATGTTTGATGCAGTCCAAGGTGCCTAATGTTTGATGCAGTCCAAGGTGCCTAATGTTTGATGCAGTCCAAGGTGCCTAATGTTTGATGCAGTCGAAGGTGTCTAATGTTTCATGTAGTCGAAGGTGTCTAATGTTTGATGCAGTCCAAGGTGCCTAATGTTTGATGCAGTCCAAGGTGCCTAATGTTTGATGCAGTCCAAGGTGCCTAATGTTTGATGCAGTCGAAGGTGTCTAATGTTTGAAGAAGGCAAAGGTGTCTAATGCTTGAAGAAGTCGAAGATGTCTAATATTTGATGCAGTCCAAGGTGTCTCATGTTTGATGCAGTCCAAGGTGTCTATTGTGTGATGCAGTCCAAGATGTCTCATGTTTGATACAGTCCAAGGTGTCTCATGTTTGATACAGTCCAAGGTGTCTCATGTTTGATTCAGTCCAAGGTGTCTATTGTTTGATGCAGTGCAAGGTGTCTCATGTTTGATAGACTCCAAGGTGTCTTATGTTCGAAGCAGTCGAAGGTGTCTAATGTTTGAAGAAGTCGAAGGTGTCTAATGTTTGAGGAAGTCGAAGATGTCTAATATTTGATGAAGTCCAAAGTGTCTAATGTTTGATGCAGTCCAAGGTGCCTAATATTTGATGCAGTCGAAGGTGTCTTATGTTTGAAGAAGTCGAAGATGTCTAATGTTTGATGCATTCCAAGGTGTCTAATGTTTGATGCATTCCAAGGTGTCTATTGTTTGATGCAGTCTAAGGTGCCTAATGTTTGATACATTCCAAGGTGTCTAATGTTTGAAGCAGTCGAAGGTGTCTAATGTTTGATGCAGTCCAAGGTGTCGAATGTTTGATGCAGTCCAATGTGTCGAATGTTTGATGCAGTTGAAGGTGTGCTCCTAACATGTCGCACATCACCTCCATGCTCATGGACTTCACCAAAGTGGTAAACTTCTGAGACATGCATCACTTCAGGCTTTCCTCCTGCACAAAGTAACACAGCATGATATAACTGCAATATTGGAAATTGGTGCCCTTAAATCTAACTCATCCTTTCTTCTTTCCTAAGGTTTTGAACCCAGTACAATATGTCCTCTGACTTTAAGGACTAGAAGTCCTGAGTGGTCAAACGCAAAACATCTATCAGAGGACCTGAGGTGACCTGCATTGGAATATTCTACCAACTCCAGGACAAGTCCTTCTGGGTTTCAGGCAGGTATTCCGGGTCTAGTTCCAGATGACTGTTCAAACACAGGAGTCCGTCTGTGGATCCACTACACTTTATTTCTCGATATAGCCTTACATCAACGGCCAGGCAGCATTCATGTGCTTGCTGTCCGAGGGTCAAATGCAGACTGCTACAAAGATTCCCTGAGAGCCAAATCCTGGTCAGACTGCCATGTGTCACATGTATGGTATGCCTGCGGTATCCCGCACCTCATCCACAATGTCATTCTTCTGGGGCCAAACGGCCATTTTCTAACTTTGATTATGGACAGCGCACCTGCAAAAGTCCCATGTGAGATGCTCGAGGCAGGACAGTTCCCCATACATACAAACATGAAGTGTTTGTTCTGGAACTTTCGGAACTTTCGGAAAACACTCAGACTACGGGAGACCTAAGCCACACACAAATGTCTGATGTAACACAGAAATCCACACATATTGTGCATAGCAATATTTTGGCTGCCCAAGACGTTTCCACTATAGTAGCTATAGTAACCAGCACACAACTACAGTCTTCGGAATCTTAACAGAAGCAAAGCAATACAATTATGTAATTGTTCCACAATGAATAACAACTGAACAAGCACAAAAATATCCCTCGGTGAATATTCTATGAAATATTCCATTTGCAATTAGTAAGCGTCATGTACAGCTTCCAGCTTCCATATGAGTCATCCCAATTTTGACATTGCAATATTTTATATCAATGAGCTACCCAAAGTGAATATGTATCAAAGGTTCACGTATATTAGAATGGTGATTTGAAATAGCCAGTGTTCTTCAATACTTCAAATACAAACACAATACAATAAGGTACATTATAGTAATATGGTGATTTGAAATAGTCAGTGTTCTTAAATACATCAAATACAAACACAATGCACTCTTTGCAATTGCTAATCGATTGTATCAGAATGTTATGGCTGCCTTGATCTTCTGCCAGAACTCTTCTCTGTCCACATCTTCTGCTGGGTATTTGATGTAGGTACCATGTTCAATTTCATCTAAGACGTCTCTGCTGATCCTTCTGGTATCAGGTACATCAATGAGCCATACTACACAAAAGATGTCTCTCCCTGAGTGGATGCTCTCAAATTTGGCCATGTGGACCTCATATTCACACCAGGAACTCTCGAGGAAGCTCGGAGTTAAAAGGATGATAGTCTTCCTGCTCGACTGTATTGCGTTTACTACGTTGGCAGTGATTGGCTCACCAACCATGAAGTCCCTCTGGTGTATACAGAGTCTTAAGCCAAATCTCTTCTCCAAGATACTCTGCATGTCCTGCACAACAAACTCCCTGTCCTCTTCTGCATATGAGACAAAGGCGTCGTATATGAAGTGTTCTTCTTCACCTATCTGTTTCTGGTAACCTCTGTACTTTCTTCTGGTTGTGTAGTACAAATATCTCAGCTTCCATCGGTAGCGATATATGACGCCACCTACTACCACTGACAGAAACAAAATGAGTCCCGTGGCTGCTCCACTTATCACTGGAATGACAGTCTTGCATTTCTCTTGAAGATCAAGTACAAGGTTGTTCAGATTGCCCAAAGACGTCTCGGTTCCATCTGATAGGCTGCATGTGGTATCAGATGCGTCATCTATGGCTATATATGGTTTCAACATCCACCACAAGTCATCTAAAGTATTGCATGTACACTTAAGGTTGGTGCCCCTCATTCTGATGTGAAATTTGTCTTTCCTTTCCATCATAATTACATCAATCTGATTCCGAAGACGTATTGGAACAGCTTCAAATCTGTTGTAGGACAAGTCTAACATCCACAAATGTTTCATTTGATGTATGTCAACAACCCAAGAACTCATCATATTCCAGCTCAAATCAAGGACTTTCAGTTTACCCATGCTTGCAAAAATCGAAGAGGGCAAATCACGAATCATATTTGTAGAAATTCTGAATGTTTCTACATTTCTTTGATTCATAAATATCTCCCCTTTTGTGTCATTTTCAAGGGATTCAGCGAGGTAATTCTTGCTGATATTCAGTATTTGTAGACCACTTGCATGCTCCAGAAACGTTGGGGCAATGAATTTGCAAAAGTTGTTTGATAGATCCAGAAAGTTAAGGTTTTCAGTCTGATAAACTGGGCCTACCCATTTTGTTAAAATGTTGGATGATAAATCAAGAGTTTGCAATTTATTTGGCCAAAATGAAAAGTTCCAAATTTCTCCTTGGATATTCCTCTGACTGGCATTAACAAATATCACGTTTGGAGCAATGGGTATTTTAAGAGTGACTGAATAATGAATCTCGTCCTTCATTTGTTTCCTCCTGATTCCATTTGGATCTGAAGATAATTGTTTGCTTTTTGATTGTGACAGTTCCACCTCATTGACATCACCATTGTAGTCTCTTTGAAACGTATTCTTGCGTTTAACTGTTTCATCTGTTCCATCCACTGAAGATCTTCTTTGGCTTCTTTGAACAGTGCTCACCTCATTATTTGTCTCCGGATACAAACTGAATACCTTATTCTGATCATGCTCTCTGTCAACGCATGAACCAGGGGTTACTATAATTCCCGGTAAAGGTCCGTAGAATGTAAAAGGGTTATTGATATAGAGTTTACGAAGGCTGACCAAGTGATCTGTAGCAAATGAGTAAGCTCCAAGCCGGAGATGGTTATTCTTCAAGGAGACGACTTCAACTGAAGGTAAAACATTAAAAACAGTGTCTTCTATGTTCTCAATTCTGTTGCAGTCAAGATAAATCTCCTTTACATGTATTTCGGCGAAGAAACGGACATGTGTCCTCCGTATCTGAACACCAATGGCATAACTGCTTGTGATTTTATTCAGCCTAAGTACTCTTAACGTCGAGTTCACAAGGCCAAACATAGAATCACCAAATGTCTTAAACCCTAAATTATCATTTTCTGACATGTCTAATGTGTCAATGTTTCTCAAAGGAAGTAACGAACCAACATCAATATCTGATATTTTACATTTACTTATATCTAATTTTCTAAGGTGAGGTGTATGGACAAATGACTGATTTAACAAACGATTGATGGAACAATATCCCTTTCGGCCTGATATGTTCAGTGTTGTAAGGTTCTTTAATCTGGCAAAGCCTTGTCCAAAGGTGCAGTTCTCGAATCCATCAACCACCAACGTCTGCAGAGAGACAAGATCTCCAAGGCTGTCATCAGGATACGATGAATTCGTGACCAATACGTTACTACTTATATCGAGGATTTCAAGCTTCTCCAGATCTTTAAACGTTCCTTTCGGGTATGTGGTCTTCTCCAGAGTGAGTTGGTTGCCATGGAGATTTAGACTGAGCAATGTTACAACACCTTTGAAGCTATCGTTCAAACTGCTAATTTTATTCTTCGACAAATCCAGATGTTTTAAATGGGAGAATCGGTGTAAGTCATCAGCGAGTTTATTCAAGAGGTTATTCGTCATTATCAAATGTGTGACATTTGAAGGAAGAGAGGATGGTATTTTTTGTAAATGTTTGTTTGAACAATTTGCGTGGATATCCCCGTCAATTGTGGTGCAGTAGCATGGGGAACACGATATCTTCTGAAGACGTGCTTCTGTCTCTCTGTGACGTGTGCTCTCTCCAATGATCAGAATGACGAATATCACTGCAAATAAGCAAACACCATTAAACATAATATCCGCCGAAGAGTGAGTGAGTTTAGTTTTACGCCGCACTCAGCAATATTCCAGCTATATGGCGGCGGTCTGTAAATAATCGAGTCTGGACCAGACAAAGGAAACTATACAAAATATTTTGATTGAAGTCAAAGCATTGAGAAATACTGATGATATTGCCAATATGACTTTCAAAATGTATAACCAGTTTGTATTTGAAATGTTAAAAATGAGAATAAGAAGTGAAACAATAGCATGTACAATAAAACAAAACAAAAATCCATTGACAAAGAAGAAATGACACTTGAAAATGACACTAATAAGTAGAGTCAAATTATGACATCCTTTCAAATGATACCTTAAATGAATTAGATAAAATAAGGGAAGTTTGGAAACTATTTGAACATAAAAAAATAAGGAATTATATTTAGAAGTGAGGCAAAATGGTATGAAGCTGGTGAAAAGCACTCAGAATACTTCCTGCATCTTGAGAAAAAGAAATTATATCTATAATCATATGAAAGAAATAATTGATACTAATGACAAGAGTGTAACTAGCATTGATGATATAGTTGTTGAAACTTCAAAATATTACAAAAACGTATATAGTAGCCAGCATGATACCAACTGGAAATACTTTGCACGCCAGTTTACCAATATTGATGTCAAATTATATCAAAATAACACTGTACTCTCTGAAACTTTTGATGTACTTATTGGAGTAAGCCAAGGTTGTGTACTCAGTCCTTTTTTGTTTTCCTTCTTCATAAATGAACTAGCAGTACAGATTGAAAATAATTTTTCACATGGTATACAGATGCGTACCGATATGTTTCATCTTTTCCTTTTAATATTTGCAGATGATATTGTTCTCCTCTGAAGAACTATGATTGGCCTGTTGTTTTTAAAAAATGGGGAAAATTATCAAAAAAGGAAAAATGGTTTTATAAAGGCAGCACTATAGAGACTACCACTTCATATAAATATCTTCGTGTATACTTCACTAATCATCTTTCATGGTTGGTACATGCAAAATATGCATCTATTCAAGCACGAAAGGTATTGATAGGTATATAGAGAAATATAAACATACTTGGGGATTTAAATTTAACATCCTTTTTTAGAATATTTGATGTTAAAATCAAACCAATTCTACCGTATGGTGCGGAAATATGGGGATTAAAATACTCTGATTCCATAGAAAAGGTACATTTATTTGCCTGCAAGAAAATTGTCGGGGTAAAGATGAGCACATCAAATGTTACGGTACATGGGGAATCTGGCAGATACCCGCTCATCATATCTTCATAAATCAGGGCTATTAAATATTGGATAAGGTTATTAAGTATGCCATCCTACTGTTAACCAAACAAATGCTATAATATGATGTTACTATATGACAAAGAAGGTAAACAGAATTGGATAACAGATGGTAAACACCTACTATATGTTCGACAGGATTTATTCATTTATGGTATGAACAAAACGTTGAATGTTCGTCATTGTTTCTAAATACATTCACGCAAAGATTAAAAGATATTTACCAGCAGAAATGGTTGGAAACAATTTCATTAGCTACAAAATGTAATTATTATTCTTTAAAACACACATTTATACTGAACGTTATTTATCATGTGTTAATGTTAAGAAATATAGAATAGCTTTAAGCTCTCGGTCGTTTCTGTTCTTCATCTCATGGTTTATTAATTGAAAAATTTATGAATATCAAAAGAGAGGATAGAATCTGTAGATGTTGTAATAATAATCTTATACTATGCCCAGCATATAATACTATACGTAAAAAATATATTATAGAACTCTATTTTGTCCATCCATCAATTGATAAATTTTCGTCTGTATTGAATTCTTCAAATGAAAGTGTAATGAAAAATGTTGCGGTGTTTATATATCAAGTATTTATCAAGCCATGTCGATAAGAACAATGTATATATGAAAAGTACTATAGGCCTGCGGCCTCCCCAGTACTGAAATAATGATTGATTGACTGACTTATTACAGAGTTTTTGCATTATAATGTTAGGCTGGGTGGTATTTAAAGCTGAAGAAAATTCGTACATAGGACGAGGAAAGTTCTAAAAGTTTATAAATATTGTTTCATAAAGTGATGATTGCGTCCTCGACAACTCGCCCAGTCCTGTAGGCATACTGAAAAGGGTCGAGAAGGTGATCTGCTTTTTGCAGGAGCAAACGCTTTACACCGAATCTTTCCAAACACTTCATAGGTATAGGCGTCAAAGCAACTGGGCGAAAGTCATTATCAGCGGTGGGCGTGGGGATTTTAGGTACTGGGATAATATTTGAAGTTTTCCAAATGCTTGATATAGAATGATTGTTGATAGAAATTTCAAAAATTGTTTTAAAAATGTGGGATAATTGTTCACGATATTCTTTTAAAACTTTACCACAAAGATTATCCGGACCAGTTGCTTTGTGAACATTGATTTTAGAAAATGAATTGAGGGCATAAGAGGGAGTTAACTCAATCACTCGTCAGCATTCGTCACCACTCGCCCCTTTCCGTAACCTCCATGAACATTCGTGACCCACTCGAGTTATTGCTCTCATGGGTCCAAGTGAGTATCTTGCTGGCTTGTTATGGAGATTGTACATGCGCTTCGACCAATTTTAGGAAATGTAATTATAACTCCTACGACTTTCAAAACAATAATATCGTATTTGTATGTAACTAATCAACCTTAATCATAAACATTGGGCTTATATTTCATAGCTCTGGGGATATTTTAGTCTGAGTGGGTTTTTTTGGTCTTTCATATTTTTTTCAGCGAATCCATTTGAAATTCCACCAGGGGTGTGACAGCAAGGTTACATGAATGTTCAGTCTAGGAAGTATTTTAGTCGTTTTTGAGTATCCGCCTTTGGATTTAATGTAGCTGAATTTTGTGTGTGTGTATATTCAATAAAACACTTCCCATTTGTGATGATTAAACCCTATTAAGAAAATTAACATAATTGGAAATATAAGGTGAACCGCTGGTAATAGTTACATTAGAATAAGTCTTTAACAAATATGTTTTCCTCTTTCTTTTAGTTGTATCAAGGTGGTTTAATTCTCTAAAATAAATAAGTATAAAAATCCCCAAAACAACATCCTAGCAATGTACGTGTGCTTCGGTGATATTAAGAAACATTGGAATCAGGGGTGGATAGAGTTATCGTTCTTGTTTAAAGTAATTCTGATGTTCATGCGCCAATATGAAATCCTTCCAGATGGGCTTGTCCCCGAATAACACGAGTGGGTCACGAATGCCGCCACGCAAGAAGGTTTACACCCCACTTGGCCGATTGTGGGAGCAGTTGGAAGCACGGAAGCAAGACTCCAGTGCATCATTCGGTTGCTGTTGGAATGCTTGTGAAGCTTGGTTGAATTTGACTTTGTAACTCCATACTGTCCCAGGAGTGCTTGAGAATGTGACAATTTTACTTATATGCATGTGATATTGTGAAAAAGTAAGAAATATTATTATTATTAAATATCCATTCTTTATAAAAGGTCTTAAAACCAGACTATTTTACTTTGTTTACTTAAATTTCCATTTCTGAAATTCGGCCAATTTTCAAGTCCTATTTTTTTTAAGTGACCACTAACTACCAATTTCTTGAATCATTCGTCACCACTCGCCCCTTTCCGTAACCTGCAAGAAGATATTCGGCTTGTCCCGGAATAACACGAGTGGGTCACGAATGTTCTTGAATGTGTGATGGCGAGTTCACGTGCGTGTATTTGAATCTCTCACCGTCCATGGCATTATCTTTACTAAAACCTACACATGAGGCAAAACATTACTGTTAGCTACGTTCTTTGTACTCCCAATGTGACCATATATATACACTCCCAAAAATGAAACGCATCATGAAAATAGCCATTTCGTAGCAATGAATTAAAACGTGATTCATTTTACAAAGGGTTTTGCTCTGTGTATGAGTCCTATGGTGTTTATGTTTAGAAACATCACAACAAAACTCACCATCCGTAAAATACTCGTATTTAACACCATGATTTTCAATTTCGGCGTGTAGTGTCACAGAATACACAATTCACATGCAGTGCACGTGAAAGTTGGGGATCAGATAGTCTCAATGATGGGTATAAAGGTTGATCGCTGTCTGTCGATTATTCACTGTATTTGGAATATTGTTGACGAACGCAAAATGCCACATCTAAGTGAAGCCAACCGTCATATCGCCATTGGTTTGCTTGAAGCTGGCCAGTCTCAACGTGCAGTTGCCCGACGCATGAATGTTCACCAAAGCACCATTGCACGGCTCTGGGAGAGATATCGCCGGCCGAATGCGGTAGCAGATGCCCTCGTAGTGGGACGACCTCGAGCGCGACCTCGAGCGACATCACATCGGCGGCGACAGGATCGCTCGACAAATATCCGGATTGATCACCTGCTGCGGCGACGGTCAGTACCGCTCGACAAATACCCGGATTGATGATGCTTTCTGCACAGACGGTCAGGAACAGGTTTCGTCAGGAACAGGTTTCGCCGACGCTTGCGTTCCCCAGGTGGACAGATTCGGCCGGGGCAGTGTTTTGATGTGGGGAACGATCACCTGCCGTGGGAGGAGTGATTTGGTGATCATCCAGGGCAACCTGCCAGCTCAACGGTACGAAATCCTACGCCCACACCTCCTTCCAATCATTGATCGCCAGAGGGAGTTGTTTCAACAGGACAATGCCAGGCCCCACACAGCACGTCACACTAGAGACTTCTTTCAGTCTTTCAGAACCACAACATCAACGTGCTCCCCTGGCCCTCAAGATCATCGGACTTAAACCCGATCGAACATCTGTGGGATGCCCTGGACAGACGGGTGCGATGCCGTAACCCTCAGC